GGCAAGCCTCCCTCATCACTGACCGGGGCCCTGGCCTTTGGAAGGAACCTTCTGTGGCCACAGCCCGGGCAGCCGTGAGCCCTGCAGCGTCGCTGGGGGGGACCTCAGAGATCATCCGGCTGACCCCCTCCTTGAGAAGAGTCTCCTCCACAAGGTGCCACCACAAGCGGTCACCCGGGCGGTGACAACCCCCCAGAAGCCCTCACCCCTCGTGGGTAGGGCCAACTGTTCCCTACACAGGCCTCCTCACACCCGGCACCAGCTGCTCCTGGTTCCGTCCTCTGAGGTCAAGCAGGGCCACCCTGACCAATCCTCGCCCCCACGACAACCCTTCAAACACAAGAGACGTCTCCGGTCTCTTCTCGGCCTTCTCAGTCCGGGGTGAAATGAGGAGAGCGTGACACCAGAAGAAGCCAGGCCCTCCAGGGAGAGGCCCCCGGGCAGCTGTCCGCGACACAAGCAGCTCTGAAGTCACTGTCACCTCCTCTCCTCCTGGACAGCAAATGCTCACTTCTCTCCGGGCCTCCCTCTGACCCAGCCTTCCCCGTCCCCCAGATCACACCCCAAGCTGGCTCATCCCCGAGGCTCTGTCTGAGGCCTCCACCTGCTGCCTGTCTCTCTCTCTTCTCTCTCCTTCGGTAACCTGGTCAGGGCCCGTGGGGTTAAATGCCCTCGGCAGGCCGGGAGCTTTAACTCCTCATCATTACTGCCCGTGGATGTGTCAAACTAGACATCCTAGATATGCCTTCACCTCCAGAAACACATTCTCTTTCCCCCCAACACGCCCTCTTTCTGTCCCAGGCCCTGCTCTCCTCCCACCCTCCCAGGACTCTGACCCTGGCATCGTGCTGGACACCTCCGTCTCCCCACGCGGCCGAGCTGGGGCCAGACCAATTTGTTTCTACTTTCACAATCTCTCACGGCCGATGCTGCCGCCTCCGTCCAGGCCCCCAGCACCTCTTGCCTCTCCCTGCTCAAATCCATCCTACCCCTGCCAAAATAACCTTCCTTCAGTGAAGATCTGTCCATGTGAGCTCCCTGCTCAGTCAGCCCCCGTGGCTCCCTTCGGCCTCCACGATCAAATATGGATTCTTCTTTGAAGCCCTACAGGACCTGGCCTCAACCTCCCTTTCCAGCCTCATCAAACACACCTCCTCCTCCTCCCCCATCCTGTGGCCCATCTCCATCTGCGCTTGGCTCCCACCTGCCTGAAATGCCGCCTCCGTGCCCCCACCTCACTGCCTCCCTCTGCGAAGAGGCAGCCCAGATCCCGAATTCTGATCCACGGCGCCCCCGGGCCAGCGCCCTTCCCCCGGAGGCCAGTGTTTGCACTCATTCTCTTTCTGTATGGGCCACAACAGATACCGGTTTCACTCCGTGGCCCCAGCTCAGGCTCGGCAACAAGGAGTGAGTGACCGACCAGTCAAGACACATCAACCAGCACTGATTCGGCGCCTAGGGTGTGCCAGACGCTGGGCCAAGGCCGGGGAGACAAAGAAGGGAGAAAACAGCCCCTGCCTAGATGGGAAGACGGTGCGTGAACGCCTGGAGAGCAAGCCCCCGATGACGGAGAAGGAGGAGCCATAGACTGCGGGGGACGGGAAAGGCTTCCTGACAAGGTGGGGCTTGGGTGGAGAGCCAAAGGAAGCCAGGGAGCCGGAGGGAATGATGAGGGAAGGCATCCCAGGCCTGCAGCTGGGCCACGGAGTCTTGGGGGACAAAGAGCCAGGAGCCCTGGGCCGCGGGAGAGGCAGCAGGAGGCAGGGAGCTGGGGGCACGGTCAGCCTTGCACGTGGACACTGACCGTTACACACATTCCTGCAGAACGTCGCTCCCCGGGAGCCCTAAGCGTGGGGACGTCCCGCGCTGGAAAGAAGTTGACTGAAGGCCTGTTCGCTCGTCACACTCTCAGGGCCCTCCCAGCTCTGACGTGTTCCACATTCTAAGACTTTCCCCGGGTCTGAGGCTCTGATCTCTACCATCCCTTTTGGCTCTGACGTGCCACGTTCTAAGGTCTGTTCCAACTACAAAACTGCGTTCTAATGTCTACCCAGACTCTGAACGTATGCAATCTGTTCTAAGGCAGCCCTGATGTTCCCTGTTCTCAGGCCCTCCCCCTTGGACGCTCTGCTCCCACCTATTTTGTAGTAGCCATGCACCAAGACGATGCCCAGGTTGGTGGGTCTCAGGCGGCGCCCGTTCTCCACGGTAACGTAATTCCGCTGGCAGATGTTGTTGATGTGCACAGGGATACTGGCGTCCGTGCCTAAAACACAAGGGAGATGTGCCTCAGTCGTCTCCTCCAACGCCTCCCCGCCCCCTCCCCTAGGAGAGGCCGCCGAGGCGCAGCCAGAACACGAGGCATTAGCGGGGCCACTGGCCACGTGACTCGTTCAGTTCTGTCTACCAGACAGCAGGGATGACAATGGCTCGTCTCAGGCCTTGGGGCTGTGGGGAGGAGATTGTGCAGTGGCAGCAGGAGCTCTCTCTATGGTCCCCAGGGCGGCAGGTCCCATCCCTGGCCCTGCTCATCCCAGAGCTCGCTCCCCACCGCCTGCGGGGCCACAGTCTTCCAGACAAATGAGCCACCCGGTTCTCAGGCTGCTGCCTGCTCGGGTGCTCTTCTGATCCCACCCAGCCTCGCACACAGATCACAGTCCTCTTTGTATCCGGGGGCCGGGAGGTTCTCAGGGACCAGGATGGGCACTCACTGGGTCTCTCCCTCCCCACCTGGTTCAACTTGAGGCAGGGAGACCAACAGAAGGCCGCAGCAGCAGTGTAGCGTGACAGGATGGGGTGGGGGCAATGCCAGGCGCAGACAAGGTCTGCCAAGCAGCTGGCTATGTCCAGTGAGGGAGGGGGGAAGCCCGGGTGACTGGGGAGGAGGTGGGGGGTGCCCTTGGGACTAACGGGGAAGTCAGGAGGGGGGAGGGGCCCCCAGGCCAGCTGGGGTGAGAGGACTCACAGGCAGGGACACCCTGCTGATGAAAGGGGATGTGGCCTGGGGGCAGCTGCCCCTCCGGCAGCTCCCGGATGTGGGTGGGGAGAGTCAGCTCTGTGACCATGAGCAAGTTCTCTTTCCTGAGCTTCCGGTCCCTCATCTGTCCACTGGGCACAAAATCACTGCCCACTCCCTGCCTGGCACACAGCAGGTGCTCAGTAAATGCAGGCCACAGCACTTTGCATGGCAGGAAGCCCTACCCTCAGAATAGGCTCTGCTAATTTCCTAATTTCCCCTCTCTGGGACAAAGACCCCATCTCCTCGCCCGACTCTGCAGGAAAGGGCTCAGCCTGGCGAGCGGGGGGGTGGGGAGCGCTGCCCACGGCCTGCATGGGCCCAAAGCCCCCCGCGCAGGTGGCAGGCACCTACCGATCCCATGCTTCTCCATCAGCGTGATGAGCTCGGCCTCAGTCAGGTAATCGGGAGGACTCGTCTGCTTCTCCAGCATCTTCACCTCACCGAGGACAAAGGCGTCCCCCTTCTGGCAGCTGGGCAGGCTCTCCTCGGGGGGAATGCTCTGCCAAGGCATGATCTCGGTGAAGCCTGGAGAAGGAAGCCCTGTCTGAGGGCAAGACGGCCTGGCCTGCCGTTGGAAGGAGGGAACTCCCCGTGGCTGGAGGGGCCTACGAGGGGGTGGATGACCGTACACTGGGAATGCTGCCGGGGTGGGGGGTGGGCTTCCCCCAAGGGCTCTGGAAAGGTCCCCTCCAAGACCATGACCTTCGATGGAGGAGGGGACACAGGCGTCTGAAGAACGATACCTGACCCCGGGCTGGGCCGCTGTCTGTCCTTTAGACTGTGAGCTCCCTGTGGTGAGGGCCAGTGCTCAGGGCAGTGCCTGGCACATAGGAGGCACCTGGTAAATGTCTGTAACCACCTCCGAGGAGCCCTCCCCCATCAGGCGTATATTGGTGCTGTCACCCCACCTCAGACTGCTCAGAGAGCCAGCCCCCGGGGGCTCCAGATGGAGGCTGCTGGCTCAGAAGGTGGCCCCCCAAGGACCGTCACCCTTGTCTCAGTCTCCCGGCATCCCCACCCCCTGGCTCAGGCTCTCCTCCTCTTGCCAGCAGGGTCTGGGTGGGACCCACTTTTCACTCCTGGTCCATAGGACAGGGCCTCACCCAAAGGAGGCACTGACGCATGGCTGATGGGGAGGGCATGAACCAACAGGCCATTCAGACCAGGCAGCTCCACGACCCCCTACAATTTCCACCCCGGAGCACCCTCCTCTCCTGAGGTGAGCCCAGGCTTTCAGAGCTCTGCTACCAAGCAGGGAAGGCTCCAGGGTGAAGCTGAGAGTACAGAGGTACCAGCAGCACAGGGCCGGCCAGAGCCCAGGGTGGGCAGGCACTGACCCAGGCCGGCGATCTGTGGTGGGTACAGGCACCCCGCTCCCAGCCCGGATCCCAGCCTCCCAAAGGCTGAGACGCTGATGCCCTCAGCTCTCTCATTCTGTGGAAGGGGAAAGACTGGCCGGGCGCTCTCCTCTCACCTTGGGATATGAGCGTCTTCCCTGAGCAGGTAAAACGCTCCGGCCCAATCTGGAAAGAGATGGTGTTCTGGAGGTATTTGCAATCATAGCTGACGGTGGCGATGAAGTGTCTGGTGATATATTCATAGAGTCTCCAGGAATCACCCCCTGAAACGAGCCACAGACCAGGTCACAGTCAGTGCCAGGCAAGGTGCGGGCCACGCCACTGCCCCGCTCGATAAACCCCAGGGGCTCCCAGGAAGCTAGCATAAAAGCCTGCTCTGCCACCTCACTCCTCAGACACCCACGCCCTGTGCCAGCCAAAGCACCCTCTTAGTGTTCCCCGTAAACGACTGCCTCCTGTGGTCTTAGCTGGCCCCCAGGCCTGAGGCGTCCTCCGTGCAAATTCTGGCTACTTGTGAATCTTACGCCAGTGCAGACGGGGTCTTTAACAAAGCAGCATGCTAAAATCTACTCCTTGGAGCTCTGTGTCCTTCCAGGGCAGGGGAAACTGAGGCTCAGACGACGGCAGCAGCTTTCCCAAACTATCCAGCTAGTGAGTCGGGATTCAAACCCACGTCCCTGATTCCACAGCCAAGGCTTATTACTCTGCACCTTGGACAATTCTCACAGAATCTGCGGTTTCTAGACCCATCTCAAAAGTTGTATGATGTCCCCGCTGCTACCAGTGCCTCATTCCCTGAAACCCTTCATGTGGCCCTCCCTGCCGGTTCCCATGGCCTTCAGACGGCGGGGAGCTCCGAGGGGCTAGGGCTGGCCTCCCTAGGGACACCAAACAACCCCCTTTCCCGCTCACGGCCATAAAGGGGAGGGGGCGGCCTGGGGGACATCTCTGAGGGCTCCTGGAAGCAGCACGTGCCTCTGTCCTGATTTCCACAGCAGACCGGGGGTCCACACCTACCTAACTCTGCCTCTGTGGCAGACCTCATGGGAGTGATTGGGGGGTGGTCCCCTGCGTCATGGCCCTTCCGTGGTCGGTTGATGCCGTCTGCCAACAGATGCTTCACCTGAGGGACAGGAGAGAAAGGCACAGGGCTGGGAGGGAGGCCCATCGAGTCCCCCACAGGCAAATGGGGTCATGAAAACAGCACCCACAGACATTTATCCGGGCTCAGGCCTCGTACTGGACGCAGGGTACTATTAGCAGTTTACAGTCCTGTAAGAGATGGCTGGCAGACGTAGACGGACCACGTAGAACAGAATAATCTGGTATACAGGAGCAGCCCAGAGAGTTCTGCAAGGGGAGGCCTGAGAAAGGAAAAATCCCCCGCCTCAGTGAGGGACCGGAGGGGCCAGAGAAGGCTCCCTGAAAGAGGTGGCCTTTTTGCTGGGACCTGGAGGATGGGGAGGATGTGAGCAGGCAGATGGGGACGTGGGAGTGAGTGAATGCGCAGAGGGGGACAGTGGGGGGACATGTGGGGTGGGGGCAAGCCTAACAAGGCTGGGGCACAGAGAAGGGGAGGAAGATGAGATGACGTCTGAGAAGCCGGCTGGTGCCCAAGTGTGGAAGGCCACGAATGCTGGGCTGAGGAGACGGGACTTTATGGGAGAGAGAGCAGGGAACCCGCAGGGATTTCTGAGCATGGGACGGCAAAAGGAAGATTCTTCAACGGCCGATTTGTGTAGATGGGGTGGGGCAGGTGGAGACAGGCAGAAGACTGGCTGGGGGCAGGCGGACGAGTAAAGGCGCGAGCCTCACTCATCTTCACACAGCGGATGCTCTGGCCAAATGGGACTCTGGCCCTTCCACTTATACGCTTCTGCTCACCTTCCCCAACCTTTGCTGCGGCCCCAAAGGCTCCCCTCAGAGCCTTCTCTGGGCTCTCCCCTCCTCCTGTGGCCTTGGAGTGACACCTTGGTACCAATGTGCTGCAAACAGCCCCTGGGGCTCCTTTAGAAGGAAAGCCCCTGGAAAAGGACCCACAAGTACAAAAATATTCATAGCAGCTCTTTTTGTGGTGGCAAAGAACTGGAAAATGAGAGGATGCCAATGGCTAAGCAAGTTGTGGTATATGAATGTGAGGGAATACTATTGTGCTATAAGAAATGATGAAGCAGGCAGACTTCAGAAAAACCTGGAAAGACTTGTATGGACTGATGCTGAGTGAGGTGAGCAGAACCAGGAGAACACTGTACACAGTAACAGCCATGTTGTGTGATGACTAATATTGATAAACTTAACCCTTCCCAGCAATACAAGGATGTAAGACATCTCCAGAGGCCTCATGATGGAAAATGCCATCCACATCCAGAGAAAGAACTATGGAAGTTGAATTGCTATTTTTTTTTCTTCTCTTCTGTTCAGTTTTGTTTCCTCTTTCTGATGGTTCCTCCTATTGGTTTTAATTTTTACTTATAACATCACTAATGTGAAAATATACTTAATATGAATGTAAACATATAGCCTATATCAGATTGTGCACCATCTTGGGGAGGGTGGTGGGGAGGAAGGGGGAGAAAAATTTTAAACTCAAAAGCATATGGAAGTGATTATTGATAAAGCAAAATAAATTAATAAAAAAAAAAAAAAGGAAAGCCCCTGGAGGGCGGGGGCTGATTTTTGCCCTGCCTTTGTGTGCCCAAGGCTTAGCCCAGTGCGTTGGCACAGCCGACATTCGCCACGTTTCTGTGGCACTGAGTTCATTCTCTTTAAAGCCCCATAACAAGCCACGCTTAGCCAAGCATGATCCCTTCATGGGAGGGCAGAGACAGGCAGGGGAGCCTGACGGTCACCCGGCACCCAGCGGAGCCGCCCACGCAGTAGGACGATAACTGGAGCTGGGCAGCCTGGCCCCTTCTGTGGCCACTCCGTGGCATTCTCTCAGGTGAGGAAAACGTTTCTGAGAAGGGGCCATCAGCCGGTCTGGGCCACTTGTTGCAGGGGTGACTGGTCTGTGGGCACAGGGCCACCATCCCAAGTGCTTGCACCCCATGCCTACCCTGCCCGGGCCAACATCCTGCCTGCAAAATCTCCAGGCCAGAGGAAGAGGGGTCTGGACAGGCACTACTTACAGTAAGCCATCCATCACCCCCCACCCCTCCTAGGGCACTAACCACTTTCCAGCCAGCCCCAGGGAACAAGAAACCTGCCCCCAGACCACATCCAGAGCTTGTCCCTCGAGAGGCTTTGTCCGGGCTCTAGGCCACACTGCATAGAGCAGCGTGCTTCCTCCCAGACTCAGCGTGGGGGGCAGCTCTTGGCCCCAGGAGCGGTCTAGGGGAGCTCCCCCTTCCCCTTACCGTCTGGGCCCAGTAAGGGTGGTTGGCCTGTTGCTTCAGAGACCCCTTCAGATCAAAGTTTTCTGGGTAGTGGGTAGTCTCCGTCCGAGGGTAACTGATGTAGCCCTGGGTATAAAGTCTCTCTGCTATCTGCATTGCATGCTGGGGCCCCATTCCTACAAGAGAAGGGGTCATATGGTCATCGATTTCGAGCTGGAAGAGCCCTGAGATGCCATCGATTCCCACCCCCATGTTGACAGAGTAGGAAACTGAGGCATAGAGGGGGAAGAGCCTCACCTGGGGTCTTGCCCAGCTGTAAGTGTATGAGGAAGGATCTGAAGCCAGGCCTCCTTGAGGCCAAAGCCAGCACCTTACTCAGCACACCACACTGACCCATAAGGAGCCATCAACCAGTGAGGTAGCTGAGGCCCAAAAACATCTCCCTGCATGACCCAGTGATCTGGCGAGGGCCAGAGAGCCTCCCAGTTTCCTCACCTACCCAGAGAAGAGCTGGCCACTCGCAGCATCTCCACCGTGTTCAGGGCCAGGGGCCTCTGCTTGGCCTTCTCCTTCCGGCTCGTCCCTTCTACCTGCAAGAGAGGACAAACCCCACGTGCCCGTCAAGACGGCGAGGGAAGCCCAGCCCGGCCTCGCTGGCCCCAGCTTGCCAGCCACCAGGGCCAGGCTGTCTGCACCAGGGACCCCGGAGGGTCCCCTTCAGTGTGGCACAGCAGCATGGGAGCTGGGCTCTGCCCCAGCACTCTGGCTGAGTGACCCTGGACAAGTCACCGCCTTTCACGGCCCGAGTGACTCAGAGGTGCCGGCCTGCACTGGAAGAAGGGGCTGCCTCACATCAATTACGGGCTGGGTCCCCTCTTTGTTGAGCAGCCCTGGAGGTGATCTGCCAGGCCCCTTCCCAGCAGATCCCGCTCGCTGGCCTGGCTGCCAGCAGGCCATGGCCCAGGCCTCGGAAGGGAGGTCTTCCAGCTCTACATGTCTACAGCCCTGCAAATGCAGTATCCTCACTTGTTCGCGCCCCAACGGGCAACAGAAGGACATCGGGGGCGTACGAGCAGGGGAGTCTGCTGTCTGCTAATGGGGACCTGCAAACGGCCAAGGGCAGAGAAGCCACCCGGGGGACGCAGCCCTCTGCACCGCACGCGGCTCCTCTCTGGACAAGATTCACGGACGAGGCAAAGGCCGGCTGCGACTGGGACCTGCACCAGTGGGACACACGGTCCCGGGCTCAGACGCCGCGGAAGGAAGGAAACGTGAGTCTAATGCCGGGCGGCAGCGGCCACGGACATTCCGATCTGGCGCTCCTGAAGCGAGCAGGGACTGAGCAGGGGACGCGGCAGCCTCAGAGTGGGTGTGTGCGAGAGAGAGCGTGAGTGTGAGTGTGTGTGGGAGAACGTGTCTGAGTGAGCATGTGGAAGTGTGAGAGAGTGTGTATGTGAGAGCTCATGTCTAAGCGTGAGTGTGAGAATGTGCACGTGTGAGCATGAGTGTGAGAGCATGTGTGCACATGTGAAAGCATCCATATGCATGTGTGTGACAGCATGTGTGTAAGAATGTGTCTGTGTGAATGTGTGGTTATGTGTGAGAGGGGGTGAGAGCGTGCATGTGCATGTGAGAGAATATCTGTATGCATGTGTGAGGGCATGTGTAAATGTGTGAGAGCATGTGTGCGTGTGCAAGTGTGTGTGAAAGCATGTGAGTGTGAGTGAGCGTGTGAAAGCATGATTGTGTGTGAGAGCATGCATGTGCGTGTGAGAGAATATCTATATGCATGTGTGGGAGAACATGTCTGAGTGTTTGAGCATGTGGGAGTGAAAGAGCGTGTGTGAGAAAGTGTGTGCATGTGCATGCATGTGCGAGAGCATCTGTGTGAGAGAATGTGTGAGAGCGCATGTGTGCACATGCATGTATGAGAGTATGTGAAAACACATGCACATGTGTGCGAGTGTGTGAGAACATGTGTGCGCGTGCATGTAAGTGAAACTGTGTGTGCATGTCCGTGCATGTATGAACGTGAGAATACATGCATGTGTGCGTGCATGTGTGTGTGAGAACACGTGTGCATGTGCATGCATGTGCAAAAGCGTTGTGTGAGCATGTGTGCATGACAGCATGTGAAAGTGTGAAAGCGTGTGTGTGTGTATGCGTGCATGTGTGTGCGCTCACCAGTAACCACTTGCTAGCCTATGTGATCTCTCTATAGAGACTAAAACCCCAAAGCTCCCAGGTGTTCGGCAAAGAGCTCTTAAGCTCCTACTATGTGCCAGAAGCGATGCTGGCCAGCTCTGCTTGGGGAGGCCGGCAGGAGCCAGACCAGAGGGCCGTATGGATGGACAGAGGGGAGAACCAATACTGGCTTGCACACAGGGCTGGGAGGGTGTGCAGGTGTGTGACCAGCCGTGACGGCCCGTGTTTGCACCTGCACAGATGGGCGCGAGAAAGCCTCTGTGGGAATCCGTGTGAGCACCTGGGGGTGGGGAGGACCGGCCGGCTACTTGCTAGGTCTGTGTTCCCTGTCCTGAGCCTCAGTCCCCAATGGCCTTCACCTCCCCTGCAGACGCCGTCTCTGTCCCTGGTATCGGCCTGTTCTCTCCCCCATTAGACCAGGAGCTCCCGGGGAGCAGGGACCATTTTCCCTTTTTCTCCATACCCCCAGCACTTGGCCCAGGGCTCACTGACCATCTGCCTGCTGGGACTGTCCACCACAAACAGCCTCAAGCTGCGTGCTGGGACGAGGACCAGGGCAAAGCTGGCGGCGTGCTCTGAAGACCGAGACCCTCGCGAGGCAGCGGCCCACCCACCTTGGCTTCCTTCTCCATCCTGGTGACGTTCAGGAACATCTGCGCAATCTCCCGGTCAAACACTCTCACGCGGTCCCAGTCCAAAAGGACCGAACTGTCCTTGTCAGGGCTAATCTGCAGCAAAGAGGTGACACCAGAGTCACGGGTGCCAAGCTTGTCCCTAAAGAAGAGGTAACAAGATGCACCTCCCCCTACCTTGCAGAGATGGGGACTATGGGTGCAGAGCACTGCATACACTGTCCCAAGGCAGGAGAGGGCTGGGGGAGCTTTGCCAAGCTGCTTCTCTTCTTTTCCCTCTGCGTTCTAAGGGGTGGCTCACCCAAGAACGGAGGAAGGAAGGAGAGATGCAGAAATGAAGGGTATGGAAAAACAAAAGACAGCAGGAAAACTCAGAGCTTCAACCCAAAAGGGCAAGAGAGAAAACAACAAGAGAAACCCATTTGGAAGGGGCCTGAGCCCAGCAAACCAATTCCCAGAGCCCTCCGCTGATACGGCCAGCGCTTGCACTCATCTGGAGGCAACGCGGCTGCCAGGCCACGACTCCGGCCTCGGCACCAGCACCCAAGGTACTGCGCTCTGAGATTTCCAAAGCTTCCCTCCACGTGATCCGGTGACAGGCCTTGGCTGGCTGGCCCACCCTCAGGCTAGGCCTTGACCTTTCTGGGCCTCGGTCACGTCTTCCCAGCCAGCACTTCCCGGAGACGTGACTTCACCCACCCGGCCGCTACCTCCAGCACAGCCCCCTCGGCCCTCCGAGCTTCCTCTTCCTGGGCCGTTCTAGCCCACATCCTCTCAGACATCCTGCAGAAATCTCCCTGCTGGGCTGGACCAGGCCACGAGTTCGGTGCTGCTGAGTCCATGACTGGCCCCCTCACGTACTGGATGCCATCTTTGATGCTGTTTCCCACACACTGGCGTGCTGGTGATAACTTGGACCTTTTACGGTCACTGGTCTCTCCTTGGCCAGCCCCATTTTAATTGTTCTGCAACAAGATCCCCAGCGCTATCACATCACGGAAGACCACTGGTGTTTAATGGGTGGGTTTGTGTCAGGGAGCACCCAACGACTGGTGCACGCCAGGCACAATTTCCCAAATACACTCCACGTCCTGTGCCTCGCTGGGCCCAACTCACTGTCTGTCTGCGGTGCCCGTCCGGGAAAGCCCATCCTGAAGGGCTACCTCCACAGGCTGCCCATTCAGGGCAGGCCACAGCCTGGGCAGGAAGGCTGTTCATCCAGTCAGTCTGTCCTCTGTGGATGGTTAGGCTAACGTCTCTAGAGTGGCTGTGCAGTTCATTGAGGTGGCCTGGTGGTATTCTGGAGCTTGATGCAACCAGCACTATAACAATAATAGTAATAGTAATAAAAATAAGTAGTAATAATATAGCACCTACTATGTGCCAGGCACCGTGTGAAATGCTTTACATTTTTTATCTCATTAGATCCTCATAACACCTCTAGCAGGCAAATGCTATCATTATCCCCACTTTACAGATGAGGAAACAGGAACACAGGGTAAAGTGACTTGCCCAGGGTCACATGGCTAGGAAGTGTCCAAGGCCACATTTGAACTCGGGTCTTCCATTCTCCAGGCCGGCGGTGCTCTGCGCACTGTGGCGCCCCCCAGCGGCCCACATTCTCAATCCTATAATCCAATGAAGGCCACTCCCTAGATGAAAAAAACCGTCTGCCCTGCAAGGCTGTCTATGTACACATTCGTCTCCTCCATCAGGTTAACGACTTGAGGGAGGAAGGGTTTTGTATCCCCAGTGGCCAGAGAAGGGCCTGGCACAGAGCCCTGAGAAGAAAAGGTCCTGGCCTAGATTGGGAGTCGGAGGTCCTGGGTTCAAGTCTCAGTCAGACTACTTGATGTGTGGCTCAAGGATACCATAGAGCCTTTCTGCACTTGTCGGGCCACATACAACTTGCTGACCCCTCAGGGCCTGCCTAGCTCTGAGGATGAGAGCCATCCTGCTGACCTGTCATCTTCAAACGGGGACTCAGATGGCCATCCCAAGGGAGGAGTCGCTTGGAGAATCAAGGGTCTGGGCCGGGCGAGGATGAGAGGCTTGCCCGCCTGCCCAGTTGAAAGACAGTGCTTTGTTTCCCAGGTCTTCCCTCCAGTTCATCAGGGGATGGATGTGGGGGCCATCACAGCTCATGAAGACGTCTCTGGGTGCAGCCTGGAGCGACGGACGCGCTCCCTACAGGAAGTCCAAGCACCCACCACTCGCCGCCCCAGTGCTGCCCCTCTGAGGGGGCTGGACGAGCTGATCCAAAGCCCCAAACTCACTCAGGGTCCTCGGACAGAGCCCAGCATGCCCAAGGAAGGGGCTCAACTGGGGACCCACGAAGGTGCCCAGAGTCCCAGTCACGCTGCGGGCCTCGACCACTTTCCGAGCCAATTGCAGACGAGTTTCTCGTGGGCCTGGTTCTCAGCATCGGCTGGACCTCCTGCCATTCGCCTGTGCGCCGCTCCCCTGCTGGTTTCTAAATGAGGGAGTTTCATCCTCATTTCATCCAGACGCGCCCAGCTGCCCAGCTGCCTCCTCATCCCGTGGCCATGCCTCATTTTAATTCCTCCAGGGTGTTATTATTTTCATCACATCACGTGGAATTCGCTTTGTTTCCGACGTTACTGTGGCTTCAGCGGCCCCTTCCTCTAAGAGTACACAGGGCGATTTCACCCCTGACTTTTCACCATATTGTGTGGGGATATAGTTTGTTCACTATTATTGGTGATGTTTCGTTTCCTTGCAAGAATTCCTGGGCATGTGCCTTTGAGGCATTTCTACTGCTGCTTCTGGAGGGATACCGAGGAGGCAGGGTCAGCTCCCTCTGCCACCTTCCAAAGTCCTGGCTGCACACTGGAGAGCCACGTGAGCTACCGTGGACGCGCATTTTGCATGACTTCAATGGGTGAGGGAGGGGCTGGAGGGAAGGAGAGAACTTGGGAGTCAAAAATTTTTAAAAATGAATGCTAAAGACAAACGAACAAATGAATGAATAAATAAGCAAGCAAAAAAAGAAAAAGAGCCATGTGAGGCTCAAGGGGCAGGATGAGCACTTATTGGGGATCCCTCCCTTGGGAAGGAGTGGAACCAGACATCCCCTAAGGTCCCTTCCGATTCTGGGGTCCCAGCGTTCTATCAGCGTGGCCAGCCAGGTGAGTAAGGCTAGAGGCAGCACGAGATGGGTCAGAGCACTGGGTTTGGCCTCAACAGACCTAATTCATGGTTCATTTCTCCTACCCTCAGCCCCTTTCCCTGCAGAGTCAGGCTAAAGGGCTAAAAGCACGGCCAGCTCTAGCCTTCCTGCGCCCCCTCCCCAACAGCTAATCTTGTATGCAGCAAAATGGAAAACCAAATTCACTCGGTCCTCACATCTAGAGACCTGGGTACAAATCCTGATCAAGTCACCAAAGCTCTTTAAACCTCAGTTTCCCCACCTGAAAAACAGGCTAACGGTCTCTGTGCCACCTCCCTGGCCCAGCTGCTGGGAGGAGAGCACGGGCTGAAAGTGAGGGGCTGCGGCCACAGGAGCTCCCATGCCCTGGCTACTGAGGAGGGAGGGTCAGGCCTGAGGGTCGGAGCCTCGAGGACACCCCAGTGGGGGCTCCTGGGGGGCAAAGAGTACCAGGGGACACAAGATAGGTGTTCGTCCTTCATCCTGAAGAGGACCGATGACATCATGGATGATGCCCCAACTCACACACTGGATTTCCGTGAGGCACGGCTGCACATGGCCCTCAGCCTCACTACATTGTCCAGAGTCATCCAAGACCAGTGGCAGGACAGTGTCAGGATGACTGGGGATGGTGTGAGTCGCAGTGCACAGCCTTGGCGTCTTCCATGTCTGACCAAGCTTCAAGCACTCCGCAGCACCTGCTTCAGCTGCCCACTCCACCGGGGAAGTCTTCACACGCTTGGGGCAGACACCCCCAACTCACTGAACAGTGTGAGGCCCATCGGTCACCCTCAGCCTGGGTTAGCCCATCTGCCGAGACGGCTGTGTGTGCTCCAGCTGGCACAGATGGTACAGAGGGCAGGAAGATGGGACACAGACAAACAAAGATACGCCAAACACCCTGAGCTGTCTCGGTGTGACCAAGTCAGGTCTCACTATGAAGAATCAGCCCTCGAGAGCCGAGGCCTGAGGCCCCGCCCCACTAAAGCTGCTGAGAGGCTCAGAAGGCCTCAGAGTCACCGATCGGCTGGGCCAGAGGGGCCCCCCACATACGCGTGCCACCAGGCTGGGAGCCATGGGGAGGGAGGAGGAGCTAAGGCAGAGAACAATCACAAGAGGTCTCATTTCTAGCACAGCAGCCCCCACCCCCGCCCTTGCGTCGCTCCCCTGGACGGTACCCCCACAAGGGGCCTTCCAAGCTCTGGGGAAAGGCCTCCACTGACAGGGAGCTCACTGCCTCTAGGACCAGGCCACACCATATTAAACAACATGCATTGGGAGGAAGTTTTCATAAACCAGGTTAAACTCTTCCCAATCCAGCCCACCTCAGATTAGGGCTGGTCTTTCTTCCATGGGACGATTCAAACACTCTCTTTTGCAGACTACAAGCTGCACATTCTTTCGTAAGTAACTCTTGCATGGAATGCTTTTGAGCGCCCTTCCCACCCTGGTCATCCTCCTTGGAACAACCAGGGTCTCCAACTGAGTAACGTGTAACCTTGTGCGTACGGCCTGCCCTGGGCAGAGGACCATGGGACGGCCTGGCCCTTTTCTGAACGCCAGACTTTCCCTCAAGCCATCTCCCACGGCACGAGGGCCTCCCCAGGTAATTTCATCCGACCTCCTGGATGGTTCGCCCCAGCTGATTTCTGAAAGCCACGGCCGCGCCCCTGGACAGCCTCAGCTAGCAGTGAGCAGCATGCAGCTGAAGATGCGGTCACTGGGTCACTATTTCAACACCCCCACACAGAACCTGGCAAGAGGAACAGGCGTGGGCACACAGAAAAGGGGGAAGGTGCACAGGACGAACCTTGGCCTGGAGCACCCAGTACAGCTCTGGCTTGAACGACTGAATCTTGTCGTGTCTCTCCACACAGAAGCCCAGGGTGGGCGTCTGACACGGCCCAAATGAGATGAGCGAGCTGTCCAAATTGCCATACTTCCCCTGGAAATATTTGGTCTGAAACCTAAGGAGAGAAAGGGAGAAGCCCCCAGGACCACAGGGTTAGGGCTCAAGCCCCAGCTCAGCCACTCCTCCAGACAATTCCCCAGGGGTCCACAGAGGCAGTGCTCTGGTCAACAAAAGAGACCAGAGCCTCAGGCCTCAATAGGTGAGTACCCACACACAACGCCCCCAGGCCATCAGCCACCCCAGAGCAGCACCGAGGAGCCACGTCACGGCCGTGAAACGATGACACGGGAGAAGGAAGGGGATGGTGGGGGGTGTTTGGGGTGATGAAAAGGACCTTAAGAAGGAAGCATAACGGTAGTACTAAGTATATTGACAGGGGCAGTCCACATTTACATCCAACTAGCCACAACACTCCTATGTCTATTCTTACTGCTGTTTCACAGAAGAGAACACTGAGGCTCAGAGTGGCTGCGCATGGCCACGTGGCCACTAAGGGGTGGAGCAGGTGGCTGAGGAGGCTCAAGCCCAGGCCCTCCAACCCTCTCCGGGAAGTAAAGGAGAGATACGTGGCTGCAGGCTAAGCAGGGACAACTTCCTAATGACCACGGGCTGAGGAGGCCTCCCAGGCGCCCTTAAAGGGACTACGTGCTAAAGATGAAAAAGAATCTGAAACGCATGACCCAAGCCCAGCCTCCGTGCCAGATGCCACAACAAAAGGGAGAACTGTCCAAGGTCCCCCTCTGGCCCTTAATGCCACTAAGTCCTGTCTAAAAACTGACTTCTCTGTCTGTGGGAGCTCGGGGGAAAGGAAAAGCTGCCATGACGGAAAGAAACCAAAGGACTCAAGGCCCTCCCCACCTGGGGTCAGCCACATGAGGTCCAGGAAGCCAGGCCAGGCCAGAAGAAGGTGACCTCCGGCCAGGACGGGCCTAGCTCATCTCCTGACCCCCCGTGGCTGCCCGCCAGCTCTCGGCCAGGCACCTGGTGAAAGCGCAGCCGATCCGGAGGTCGAGCTCCTGCCGAGCATCCACGGACAAGGCCTCGTTGTGGTCAGGTTCGCCCAGGCGGCCCATGGCATTGCAGATGTCTGTGTCCGTGATGGAGCTGAAGCGTGCTCTGAACACCGTCTTCTCAGTGCCCCGAGGCTTGTTCATGACCGGCAGGACGGCGTCAAGGACCTAGGGGATGGAGACAGTGACAGCGGGGCACCCCGAGTCATCAAGAGGTGGGAGGAGGCAACTTCCTCAGAAAAGCAAAGGGAGGCTGGGAACGAGAAAGAGGATTTGGGCAGCTCTGTGAGGGGAAGAGGGGAGGAATGGGCATTTATCAAGCGTGCACTGTGTGCCAGGCATGTGCTAAGCGCCTTTCACAAATATGACCTCACTGGATCCTCACAACCCTTGTGGGAAAGGGCTATCATGACCCCACCATTTTACAGTGGAGGAGACTGAGGCAGACATATGTGAAATGACTTGCCCAAGGTCACAGAGCTCGGAAGTGTCTGAGGCTGGATCTGAACTCTGGTCTCCCCGACTTCGGGCCCGGCTCTCTGTCCAGTGGGTTGCTTACTTCACAGTCCTTAGAAAACCTCAGGACAGTTCCGATTACTCCCAGACCACTTCCTCTGGGCCAAATGCTGCAGCAAATTGTCAAAATAAAGTAGGCAGAACCAGCTGGGCTCCCGCAGGATGGAAACACTGACCATCCCGGGGCAACGACTCTCCTCGGCTTGCAGACAGACCAGTGAGCCATCTTCCTCCTGCACAGGCCTAACCCGTTCACTCCCCTTCTCATAAACCTTCCACGGCTCCCTCCTGTTTCTAAGGTGACATACAACTACTTGGCTCCCCATCACATCAGACCCTCTACCCTCTGGGCACGACCAGCCTGGCCAGCCTTCTTCCCCAGACCTCCCCTTTACGCAGTCCACCTCTGGGACAAGGGGGAAGGGTGCTCACCCCCTCTCAGTGGTCTCTCACATGTGCTGTCTCTCAGGCACATTCCCATTTCATCTGTATCCAATGAAATCCTCCTCCTCCCTCGAGGCCAGGCTCAGGGGCCACCTCCTCCAGGAAGCCAGAAGTGCTTCCTCCCTCTTTCCATTTTTTCTAGGAGTTTTTCTGGGCTCCTCCTGCATACAAACCACAGCCTGCCTGTCTGTGTACTCGTCTCCCCTCCCCTTAGACTGTAAGACCACCTAGGGAACAGACTGTTATTAATGTGATTAGTCCTGCTCTGTTCCAGGCATGACACAAAGCCCCCAGGAGACAAAGAAAAAACAGAGTCGCAGCCCCCAAGGAAACGACCTTCTAATGGCAGACGCCAGAAGGTCCAACGACACACAAGGCAGAGACCCAACAGCCTCAGTGGAGCGGGCCCTGGCAGCCGCAGAAGACAGGCGTGGAGCCGAGATCCGGAGGAAGCCCGGCACACTAACAGGTGAGGAAGGGGAGTGCTGCGGGCACTGGGGAGGAGACCTCACCACGCAGGGAGGGCAGCAGTGTGGAAGCTGTCTGGGAAGACAGGAAGGGGGCTGGTGGTGAGGAGCTTTCGACACCCAACCAAGGGCTCAAGGTTGGTCCTGGAGACACGGCAGGACACGAGAGTTTACTACATAGGGGATCCCATGGTCAGATCCACACGTTAGGAGAACCCCTTTGGCCGCTGTGTGGTGGATGGCCTGGGGAAGGGGGCGATGTGGGCGAGCTGACCGGCGAGGAAGCCCCAGTCACAATCTGGATGAGGCGTAATAAGGGTCACAAATGGGGAACGCAACAAACGCAGGAGGGGACGCAGGAAAATCGGGACACGAAGACACCGCTGGGGGAACTGGGAGCTGCACCAGCCATTCTGGAGAGCGATCTGGACTTGTGCACCAAGAGTCACAAAGCTGTGCGCGCCCTCTGCCCGGCAGCGCCACTGCCGGGTCTGTCTCCTGAGGTGATCCGGGGAAAAAGACGAAGAGCCCCTGGGTTCTGACCCGTTTGGAGCAGCTCTCTTTGCGGTGACAAAGAACCAGAAATCGAAGGGATGCCCGTCGCGTGGGGGAGGGGTTGTGATCTGTGCTCGTGACAGAATGCTGCTGTGCTCGAAGAAACGGTGAGCTCAGCAATCTTAGAAAAACACGAAAAGACCCGCGTGGAATGACAAAGAGCGAAATGAGCAGAACCCAGAAGACGTCGTGCACAGAAACGGCAATGATGCTCCAAGAACAACTGGGAGCGGCTAAGCTACTCTGAGTATTATAAACACTCAGACCAACTACGAAAGACTTAGGAAGCAAGATGTTTTCCCCCTCCAGAGAAAGAACTGATTAACGGAAGTCTGCAGGGCATGTTTTACACGGACACACAGCTGCGTCCAATGGTGGCCTCTCTGGTGGGGGTTGGGGAGGTGGGGAGAAAAAAAAAATAAAAAGTGCCTAGTTGAGAACAAAAGAAAACTCAGGAGGGAGCACAGAAAAGCAGGGCAGCTTTAAAAAGGACGAGCAGTATTTATTACACAGTTGAAAAAAACGCAAAGCGTGAAACGGAGCTTCATGGCTCCATACTGCATCTTCTCTCTGCGCTGTGCTGCACAAATGGAATGGTTCTTTGTCATTTTGTACTGGAGTTCAGAAGGAATGAAAAAAAGCAGAAAGGGACACACAGGAATTGTCAGGTCAGGCCAACAAGCATTTACTAAGCTGTTACTATGTGCCCACATGCGCTGGCCTAGATGTGAAGGGTGAGTCAGGAGGTGACGACGTACAAAGGCTAGATGCCCTAGTGACCAGAAGAACAGAATTCTTTAGCCTTCCAAGAGGGGAGAATTCCACAAAGAACAGAAAATTAATTCTCTTTTGGGCGCGCTGAGCCTGACACACTCAGGACATCTAGTTCAAAATATCTTCCAGACAGTTGAGACCTGGGGCTCGTGAGAGACTAAGGCTGAGTATTTAGATGTCAGAATCATCTGCCCAGAGATGAAAACTAAACCCTGAGGAGCTAATGAGGTCATCAGGGGAAGAATCTGGATAGAGGGAAAGAGTGAACAACGTCAAGAAAACTCAGAGAGAAGAAAGTATCCAGGCAGAGGACGGCCAGGAGAATCACAGGCTACAGAGAAACCAAAGGGGAGGACAGAGAAGGGGCCACTGGCGGGCTGTGTGAAAGGCTGCTCCAAATTGCTCAGAGTGAGAGAAGTGAATCAAAACAACTCAGTGGTCTCACCTCACACCCTGCAAATGGGCCAAGATGACAAGAGATGGGAACAGCTCGTGCTGGAGGGACTGACAGGCATACCAGTGCATTGTCGGTAGAGCTGCGAAATGGCACGGCCGTTCTGGGAAGCGACTTGGAATTACCCAAACAAAGGGACTACGGGGTTTAGATCAGATTCCACATACCCCAGACAGGCCCGCTGACAAGAAGAAAGGCCCTGTAAACACCAAAATATTTAGGGCAGCACTTTTTTGCGTTAGCAAAGAATTGTAGTAGATGCCCACTGACCAGGGAATGAATAAACAAATTGTGGTCCGTGAACATAATGGAATATTCCTGTGCTAGAAGAGATGATGGATACAGAGAAGCCGGAATAGATCTATACGAACAGAAGCAGATGAAGTCAGCAGTACCCAAGAAACAATACGTACACTGCCTTTAACCACGCACACGGAAAAAACAACCACAAAAAAAAAATCAACAGTGACTGCGGCCAAACTGTGGAGAACAAGTGTGGCTCCAAAGGAGGGACAGGAGGAGACCCTCTGAACCCAGCTCCCTGCGGAGTGGAAGGGCCACACGGGCTGGACGCTGCACGGATTTTCAGACTTTCTCAGCGATCGCTTACGCCAATTTTATCCTTTTTTTAATTAGTCTTTTAACAATATTTTTATCATATGGGATGGCTCTCTGGGAGGAGGAATGAAGGGATTCTGGGGAAAAGTGGTATAAAAAACAAAATCTATCAATAAAAACTTATTTTCCTAAAAAAAAAAAAAAACAAAAAACCAGAACAAAAAAAACAAAAAGAAACCCACTCCAGAGCACTGGCCCTGGAGTCAGGAGGACCTGAGTTCAAATCCAACCTCAGACCCATAATATTCACTAGCTGTGTGACTCTGGGCAAGTCACTTAACCCCAATTGCCTCACAAAAAAAAAAAGACACCATAGGTCACTTGGGAGAGAGGACAGTTTTGGCTGCATGATGGGGATTAGGAGAGAGGGGGGAGGAGGCACAGTACAAGCACTGAGGGCTGAGCGTCTTTTCACCTCCACGGGACCCGGGGCCCTGTAAGTGAGTAACAGGCAGGCACTGACCAGAATCATGGCCTCTTAGAGGTCTAACAAATGGAACTCTGCCTCCTTCTAAGTTGCACTCATTGCTACCAACTCTCCCTGCTGAGTACAAATACGTCACATGTGTAGGCCTAGAGCCCCTCTTTCTGCCTCATTGGGGAAAAGTTTTACAGGGTTCACTAACAAGCAAAAATCACGCTTGTTCCAGCCTGGAAGAAGCGCTGGTGTTTTGACGGGTCTGGAGGCAACTCAGAGAGGCAGTGTCCCGAGGGCTGCAACTCCCCCTTCCCTGAGGGGCCCTGAGCCAGGAAGCTCGAGCTCAGCCATGGGACCCAGCGCTTGGGGACACTCACCTCAAAGCAGATATTCTCCCCTTCTTTATCACAGTCCAGCCAGAGCACAATGTAGTCGCAGCCTCTCCCTTCCACCTACCAAGTAAACCAGATGTCACTGAGATTTCTCTGAAACCACAGAAACTTTCCCTACCTCCAGCCCGGGCCAGCTTTGGCTCTAGCTCTGCTCACACGGATGGCTCGGGGTGGGGAAGGTTGTAATCATCCTTTCACAGCTCTGAGAAGGGGGCATCACGCCTGGCCCAAGGTCCCCCTGGCCTCGGCATCCTGCCAAGGGCTCCTGCTTCCCTGACAGCCACCAGCCCTGGCCTGGGATCTCAAATCCATGCCATTCATCGAGGGCCCAGCTCTGCTGCCACTATTCTCTGAGCCTCAGTTTCCTCATCTGTAAAATGGAGATCATAAGGCACTCCCTGCCTCCTGGTGTCAAAACGGGAGCTCCTATGATTCTAGTAACCAACTCTCAAAGAGCAATTGTGTCCTGAGCTAGAGGAAGGCCCCCTAGGCAGACGCCACTGTGGGGGAGGGGACAGAGAGGAGGGGGTAGCCCTGAGAGGAGCTGGGTGGGAGGTGGCTAGGATGTAACCCCAGGGCGGCACCAGGGCTGGGAGGAGGTGGCCAGACCCCAGCAGCACAGGACTGAAGGGGCCCTCGGAGGACATCCTGGCCCTTCCCCACCGAGGCAAGAAGAAGGTTTCACGAGTGGGCGCCAGCCACCCCATCCCAAACCGGAGGATTCTTACTATTAACAGTGAATAACACTGTGCTGCTGTTCAGTCCTTTCAGTCTCGTGTGACTCTCCGTGACCCCGTGTGGGGTTTTCTTGGCAGAGATACTGGAGTGGTTTGCAATCTCTTACTCCAGCTCATTTTACAGATGAAGAAATTGAGGCAAACAGAGTGAAGTGACTTGGCCAAGGTCACACAGCTAGTCAGCGTCTGAGGCCAGATTTGAACTCATGTCTTTCTGCCTCCAAGCCTGGTGCTCTATGCACATGCACTAGCTAGCTGCCTGAATGACACTTAGGTGGTGCTGCAGGGTTGCCAAAGGCCCTTCAGGGAGGACAGGCTTCCACCTAAAAAGCAGAAACAGGCCTCAGCAGCTTCCACCCAGGGGCTGAGCAGAGCAAGCATCTTCCCCTCCCTTCTCTACATGGCAGCCCTTCAAATGCTGGGAAGAAGTGAAAGAGGCCAAGCCTGGTGGGCCATGAAACCTTCCAGAAGGGAGATGGGCCCCGTCACTGGAGGTCTGCAGACAGGGCCTCAGCTATGGAGCTGGGCATCCCACAGAGGAGGGGTGAGACTGGCTTTCTCTGTCGCGGGGCTCCTGCTCCTGAGGGAGGGGATGAGATGCCTGGAGTCTGGGCGAAGGATTCCTCACCAGGCACAGCAGAGCAGGGTGGGCCGGCCGAGGACCTCAGCCAAAGGGCCGACACCCCGATGGGCCAGCGTGCACAAAGAGGGGCAGTGTGGACTGGTGTGAGAGCACTGAGCTTGCAATCAGGAAACCTGCACTCAGAACCCAGCTCTGAGACGCCCATCAACGTCCCGCTTATAGAGTGCAGCCCCGATACCTGTCCTCCCTCCCTGCCAGGACCACCACGGTGAAGTCACTCCTCCCGAGGAGGACAGCCCTTCCACCACCGCATACCTGGAGGAACTTGACCATGTTCAGCTTTGGATTGGCCTCCTTCTTCTCAGTGGGGGCTTTGCTAAAGAGCTCCGCCGGGTCCACTCTGTCCCAGTGGTTATACTTCCCTGAAAGCCAAAATGCTGCTAAGTGAGACGCCCTTTGGGAGCGTGACCACCTCTGCCAGGCCACCTGAGAAAGACAAAGGCCAGGAGGCTGGGTCCGACGGTGCACCCGACAGGCGCTCACCAATCAGTGACGGGGGGGAGAGGAAAAGCGGTCCGAGCTCCATCACCTGCTGGCCAGAGGACCTTGGCAACTCACTTCATCTCTTCCAGTTTCGGAACAATAATAAAATAAAACTGGCACCTGGATAAAAGTCCTCTGGAGAAGTGAGGGCGCCACTTAAACGTGAGCTGTTATTATCATGGTTTAGTCTGACCCCCTAACCCTAGAGGAGCACAACCTGGGCTCCTTGGAGGTGAAGGAACTTGTTCAAAGTCACAAAACGATTTAGAAGGATCAGAGAATGTCAGAGCTAGAAGCCCTGAGTTCAAATCCAGCTTCAAATACTTTCTACCCTGGTGACCCTGGGCAAATCTCTTAACCGCTGTCTGCCTCAGTTTCCTCAACTGTAAAATGGGGATTAAAAATAGTCTCTACCTCCCAGGGTTGTTGTGAGGATCAAATGAGGTAATATTTGTAAAGTGCTTTGCAAACCTTAAAGTGCTATACAAACGTGAGCTAAGAACAATAATGATAATTTAGTCTAAACCTCACCGACAGAGACTTAACCAAAGCTTAAAGAGATGAGGCAGATCCTTGGTAACCAATGAGTGGGGACACAGACAAGACCAGAGCCTGGAGGGAGAAGTTGCAGCCCTGGGACTGGGGTCTTTGCTGGGTCCTCTTGGACCCTTGGGTGCCCCAAGCCTTCGCTGGGGATAACGGCTGCAGCCAGGATCACACAAGAAAATGGGCACACAAGGGCTTCCTCGTCCTCAGGAATACCTCTGTCATCGTCATGCCTGCACCGTCTCTGTGCCGGCCTCACCCCCACATGGCTGAGCCTCCCGCCCAGGGCACTGGCCCTAGGGTCTCCCCATCCCCTACCCCGATGACTGCATAAATACCAAGCTTTCTTTGACCATGCCAAGGTGGAGGTGGAATTCTAGAGACATACTCAGAGCTACCTCGTTGATGGGGAAGGGTCAAGGAGAGAAATCCACAGGTTACAGTCCCAAGGCAAACCCACAGGCGTCTTGAGGGAGTTTGACTTCTTCGAGTAAGAAAGAGGGTTCTAGGGCATTCAACAAGCTCCCTTCGTGTCCAGGTTCGTTAATGCTGCCCCCGACCTGGGGCGCCAAACTGAGCCTGGGGCAGGCAGGGCCCATCTCATGTTTGTCTTCCCACCTCGGGCACCACAGGTCACAGCAGGTGCTAAATAAAGGACTGGGAGCTGCTTAATGCGCCCATGGGCCAAGCCTCCCCTTGCTCAGAGGCGCTCACTGCCTGCCAGAAGGTGACTGCCCTCCTCAGACGCCCAATCAGTCCTGCCGGCGTGCCTCCCCAGACTGCAAGGCCCAGCTCTGGGGACTCCGCCTCCAAGAAGACTTTGGGATCACGTCTCACCGGACTCGCTCTCCTCCAGCACCAACCACAGGCCAGACATGTGGGATACCCAACTGCACTAAAGCGGACGGTGCCTTACCAGTGAAATCCAAGGTCATGACGTGGCCGCAGACGGATGTCATCTTGAAGCGGACAGGCTGCCCGCTAAAGGATCCCGTGTACTCGTGGACCGAGCAGGCTCCATTCAGGCCCTTGCGCGAGGACATGTTCCCTGGGAGAACGACACAGTTCCATGAAGGGGGAGCCAGCTGCTGCTGAGGCCCGTATGCTGGGGACACAGCCCAGAGCCTCAGTGACCCCCCCCTCCGAATCTTAGAAGCCTCAAGGGTCAGGGTGGCAGGAACCTTGGGCCTTCAGTCTGGGCAGCCCAAGGACCCTCCCAGGATAACGGTTTTAAATGCATAAAATAAACTCCTCCTCTCTGGGCAGTGTCTGCCAGGCTGCCGGCACTGATGTCAGGCCCACGGCCACTGCGGGGACATAGGATCCTTCACACCCACTGCCCCCGCCTAATCTCAGAGAAGCTGGAATGAAGAAGCCTGACATGGAGCCCACCGAACCCCCTCGGTGCCAGGAGCGAGGGGATGAGGGACGAAAGTCCCCAGGCCTCCCCTCTGGTCCTGTGGGGGGTGGCCTCAGGCTCCTGAGGCGACAGAGAAGGTGGAAAGCTCGGGGAGGGGAGGAAACAGGACGGGGAGGGGAGGAAAGAGCT